AAGATTACTTAACAATTAAATCATTTGAATTAAAAGAAGATTTCTGAACTCATTCTAGCAGTTCAACAAAATGAACATATCATTATCTATCTTTATTAAATTAGTCTCTCCCAACTTTATTTATTTTAAATATACAAAAACTTTAAATAACTCTTCCATTTAATTAAAATATGTGAAAAACACGTAATCTATACTTGAAAGTTAATAAACCAACGAAAATGGTAACAATATATAATTCTATAATTTTGTTAGTTATTATATATAAAAGATTTTAATTTTATTAATAAATAATTTTTTTTATATCAAAACAAAGATTATAAATTATAATTTAATATATATTTTTTTGGATTTTTTAAATTTTTTTTGATAAAGTTTTTCTAATTACAAAGATATTGCAAAAATTTTTATAATTAATTTTATATTTTAATTATAAAAATTATTACAATAACTTTGTAATTAAAACAACTTTGTCAGAAAAAAATATGTTAAACTATAATATCTTTATTTTGATATAAAAATAAAAATATTTATTAAATCTTTATAAAACAAAAACTTTAATTTTTATTATATTTTATTAATAAAATTGTATAATTCTGTTGGTTATTATATATATAAAAAGAAATAATAATTATTATTATTTATAAAAATTACAGATTATAATAATACAAAATATTTTTATTATAATTAAAATATTATTAAAAAAATAACTTTGAATATTTTAAATTATTATTTGATAATCTAATATATATTATCAAATTTTTTATATTATTTATATTTTTTAATTTTATAATAAATTTTAAAATTGATTAATCAATTATTTAATATTATAAATTTTGAAATATTTAACAAATTAATAAACTTTTTAGTACTTTATTATTAATATTTATTTATTTTTAATAATATATTTTGTTTATATTATTAATAACTAAATATATAGATTATTTAATTTATTTAAAAATAAAAAATTTATAATTAAATCAATTATTAATTATTGATCAAAATTTTATCAACTATTAATATACTAATATTTTCAAATTTTGCAACTAATCCTTTCAAAGTTAGATTTAATTTATTTTTAATATAAAGAACATATTTTTTGTTTGAATAAGTATTTTGTATTTTTTGAAAGTAATATTAAAAATTATTTATTTACTAATAAAAATAAAGGAATTTAAATAAATCAATCCAAAAAAAATAAAGTCATAAAATATTTTATTAATATACAAATTTTATTATATCAAAATTAAAGATAATATTACAAATGTCTAATATTTATTTGTTATTGATATTTTTACTAAATCACAATTAATTACAATTAAAATCTATAAGTTACAATAGATAACAAATAAGTACAGTCAAATCTTTTATAGTCACTCTATTTTGCTTTCTCATTTATATATAAATATAGTAAAAAAATCATTCTATAGTCACATTCCCTTTATAGTCACCAAATTTTGCTTTCCTGAGGGTGGTGGCTATAAAGGGAGTTGACTGTATTACACAATTACAACTCCATCTTTAATTAAAATTTAATTTTTATTATATCAAGATATATTTACTTGTTTAAATAGAAATTTTATTTATTAAACAGTATATTAAGATTTACTATAAAATTCTTTTATATTAAGTAATTATTTATTTAATCTAATTTAAGCTGGAAATACTTTTGCAAACAAAAATAACCTTTAAACAAATCCAAGTAAATATATATTTGTTAAGATATATGCTATCATATTGTAAAAACAAAAAATATTTATGAATTTTCAATATAAAAAAATAATTTCAATTTTCAGTGTTTTTTTTTATTTAGGAATGTCATAAATAAAAATATATTTAAAGTTTAAAATTTAATAAAGTATAAATATAAAAGTTTATCATCTTCAAATTTACTAAACCTATTTTTCTCTAATCGTACTTTACTCATATCTCGTCCATTCATACACTTAATGCATATAATAGCGATAAAAAGAGCCTAATAAACACATTAACGGCATTTGATCTTTTTTGAAAATCATTCAATGGTAGGATAATGTTGGTCAATGCACAAAAACACAAAAACACAAAATCGACGGCTCAAGAAACATCCATAATATTGATCAGTTTGTTAATCCGGCGGATTGATAGTTTAGCCCGCCGGAATTTCACCATCAATCACTCGAATTATCTTTATTACACAATAGTATCAAACAAAATGCAATTCGGCATTACATTTTTCCCTCCTCTTAATCATATGACAAAAGAAAATGAACAGTGGGGTAGAAAGGTTGAATGTAGATTTTACAACAGCAACAGCACGCATAATAATAACAATAATAATAACAATAATAATAACAATAATAATAGTAGCAATAATAGTCGTAGTGACGCTATGGAGAATGGGAACAAGTACTCGTTAGGAGAACGAATAATTTTGAATGTTGGAGGTATCAAGGTATAGTAACCAATAATCGCTTTTTTTCGAATTTTTGGAGGATTGGGCGGTTGTTATTGGGAATCGGAAGGGAATAAATGATGTTTGTTATCGAATTGTTGTATTTATTAATTTCATGTGATTATTTTACAAAAACAAAATAAACGTGATTTTTATTATCACCATTGTCTCTATAATTTCAATACTATTCTATGATTCTTTCGATATTTGTCATTATTATTTCTATTATTACTTAAAATCAATCTCATCAACGATGTGAGAGCAGTATGAAACATATCGTTCCACTTTGACCGCATATCCAGACACGTTACTCGGTACAATGTTCTCGGAAAGAAATAAACAATTGGTGAATCCGACGCAGATAAGTCCCGCCGGGAATAAAGAATATTTTATTGATCGCGATGGTCATGTTTTTCGTTATATTCTGCAATTCTATCGGACGGGCAAAATTCCTTGGCCTGATCAGAAAAATTTTGATGGTGGTGGCGTCAATAATATCAGAGGAGGAGGTGTCGGGGATTTACTATCTCCTAATAATATAGGCAGTGGTTTTAATACAGGAAATGATAATAGTAGCGTAAGATCATTGAGTACTACAATTGGAGTTGTTGCTGGAGATACAATTTCTACTGATATGACTTCAACATCATCAACTACAGTAACAATTGGAGAATGGTTACCAACAACAAACACGTTAATAACACGTCAGGAGATCGAGAATGAAATGGATTATTTTCAAATCCCCGCGCCAATCCACGAACCAATAATAATCCCATATCCAACATTAGCCGCCGCAAAACAATTGGACGCATTCATACATTCTCTAAAAACATGCTTCACAAGTATAGCCCAAAACTTCATCGATGATATCAGCATCATGTTCTACGAGAATAGACGACTTCCCCAGGCAAGCCTTAAAGAGGTCGATAATGAAAATGTGAAAATGTTGATCATCGAATTGGTGGACAAATTATTTCGCGATTTTGCACTGGTTGGATTTGAGATTCTGGATCGTTTCGGACAGGATATTGGCACGTATTTGATGGAGACGTTGCCGGGGTTGGCGTGGAAATTGACGAGAGGGTATTACGATAGACGGTATTTCGTGAATTTGAGTACTACTGTTTTTGATCATCAGGGAATTTTGGAGAATTCCTGTTTGGCTAAACAAAACAATGTGTAAATTATTTCTAATCACTTTATTATTACTTACTACTAATGTTTAATATTCATAATAAATGTAAAGGTTTCATTTTTTATTTTCTTAATTAGAATGTAAATTTATTTTTTTCTTTTCATCCACAATAGAACGATATCGTTTGCGTTAATGGGAAATTAGGTAATCCAAATAAACTACGTTTTAGTTTACATGTATTATATTTATATATCAATCAATGGTAACAATGTAGGTCTTACGATTTTCATGTGACAGATTGAATATATTTAGTTTCACAAGAAATCCCTCTTTTACCAATTAACAAATAAGCCAAAAGTTAAAATTAATCAATATCCTTGATTGAACATACTCTCATTCTTTTAGTCACACCTAACCTCATATAGAACCTCCGTTACCGTTACCCATTATTCTATGAATTTAGTGAATTGTATGTTTATCACCATTTAAACTCATGGACCATCGCTAATGCAATGATTTATCATTTATTAGTTTTCAATTCAATATAAGATACGATCGATGATGATTGTCTGCGTAAAATACACATGCATGTTATCGGAAAATAAAATACGGGAATGCATGACTTTGAAACATTTCTTTACTGCGTCCCTTCACAAGGCCGAAACACGGTAATTTCCATTCCGATCAAAATGGGTAAATACATTGGATATTTCAAAATACATTGCTAAGTCTGTGTGTACGTGCCTAGAATCGAAGTTATAGTATTATAAATTATTGATAGTCCAAACAATAGAGGATGTAAAACGACATGCTTGCATTTAGCCTAATCAAACAACTAATCATTCTCGTTTTTTTTTTTATATCCAAAATATCACTCTCATCCCAACTTGATTTATTATAAACATATAAATATATTATATATATATATATATAGAAAATATAAAAAAGCACAAAAACTTTTTTCATTCTATTTTTTTTCTCTTCTCTTCCAATCTCTCTTTTTGTGTTTGTCGATTAAGACTATAGCAAAAAATAAAAACTAATACATCTTGATTTATTATAATCTTAATTATGAGCAATGGCAACTCGAACAATGCACGCCTAGAGCAGCAAATCGGTAAGTGAACGAATGAATCTGCACACTGCATTGTTTGCTTTTCTTTACCTTTGGTTTGTTCTCGTGCTAAAAATGCTGGGTTGGCTACAACCTGAATTGAAAATTGGAATGCTCTTTTTACTCGTCAATAAATTGATCAAATTTTTCATCGGCCATTCACCCTTACCATTTAAACAAATAGCTAATTTAGGCATCACTAATCAAGGTTCGGGGAGATCTACCGCTGGCCGTTACGTTCCTCCCCACCTGAGAGGGCGTTCGTCTGAAAAAAATACCAATGAAAATAACTCTTCTCAGACGCAGCAAAGAACTACCTCAAATAATACCCTTTCTCCTAATATTAACCATAATAGTAACACACAACAGTATAATAACGAGGCTCAGGAAGATCCTTCTCCTCTTCAACCTCGTCGTGGTAATGGCTGGCATCAAAGAAATGAAAGGTAAAATTAAGAATGTTCAATTAAGATTTGGATGCTGATTTAACTACGAATATTATGAGACAATAATCTTTGCAATATTTTCTGTCAAAAGTTGCTTTTCGTGTTGAGATTCTTGGTGTCTTAAAAAAAATATTTTTTCTTAATTTAATATCTTAATCTTTATTATAAATAGTGCTGCCGCCGCTGTAGATTGGAATAATCGTAGAACATCTTTCCCTCGAGCTGACTCTTGGGGTGGAAGTCGTAGCGAAATCAGTTATTCCTCACCTCAACGTTCAGGTGGTGGTGGCGGATGGAATGATCGAGCTTCTTCACAAAGTGACCGATGGAATGCCGGATATCGACAGAACTTCTCTGGTGGTCGTGGTGGGTATGGTCGCGGAAATTTTCAGGAAGACTTTAATAATTCTCGACGTGAGGATGGGTATGGTTCTTGGCGTGATGGTACTCATATTATTGCCCAAAGAAATCAACGTTTAGAACGTGATCTTTTTGGTGCTCCTGATGATCCAGAACGTCAACAAACCGGTATAAACTTTGAAAAATATGATGATATTCCTGTCGAGGCCAGTGGCAACAATGTTCCCCAAAGTGTTTTACAGGTAATTGATCATTTGTTGTTTATTATATATTTCTATTGCTGGAAGAGTCATATCTAATCTAATATTAAAACTATAATCATTTTATTAAGTTTACGAGTCCTCCTTTGGATCCTCATCTTCTTGTTAATATCGATCTGGCTCATTATACGACTCCAACTCCCGTACAAAAATACTCGATCCCAATCGTATCTGCTGGTCGAGACTTGATGGCATGTGCACAAACTGGCTCGGGAAAGACTGGTGGATTTTTATTCCCAATTTTATCGGAACTATTTAAAAAGGGTCCATCTCCTCCACCACCAGAACTATCAGGTTATACTCGTGGGATGTCACGCAGTCGTAAAGCTTATCCGGCAGGTTTGATTCTTGCTCCGACTCGTGAATTAGCGTCTCAAATTTACGAAGAAGCACGCAAGTTCGCATATCGATCATGGGTTCGACCTTCTGTTGTGTATGGTGGTGCTGATATATCTGGACAACTACGACAAATTGACCGTGGTTGTGATCTGTTGACTGCAACTCCTGGTCGACTTGTCGATTTAATTGAACGTGGTCGTGTAAGCTTATCCCAGACCAGATATTTGGTTCTTGACGAGGCTGATCGTATGTTGGATATGGGTTTTGAACCACAAATTCGTCGTATTGTTGAACAAGAAGGTATTTTATCATCTGCATAAAGATTAATTTCTTGCGATACCTAATTAACATCCTCGTTATTTATAACATAATAGACATGCCTGATGTTAAATCACGACAAACACTTATGTTCAGCGCCACATTCCCTCGTGATATACAAGTTCTTGCACGTGATTTCTTGGAAGATTACGTATTTCTGAGTGTTGGCCGAGTTGGTAGTACGAGCGAGAATATCACTCAAAAGATTGAATACGTAGAAGATGAAGACAAGAGATCGGTACTATTAGATATTCTTCACTCACAACCAGATACTGAACGTGGCCTCACCTTAATTTTCGTGGAAACAAAACGAATGGCAGACATGTTATCAGATTTTCTCATAAATTCCAATTTTCCAGCCACTTCGATTCATGGAGATCGCTCGCAACGAGAACGAGAACGTGCGCTTGAATCATTCCGTACAGGTCGTACACCAATTATGGTTGCGACAGCAGTGGCTGCACGTGGTTTAGATATTCCCAATGTTACTCATGTTATCAATTATGATTTACCCACCGATATAGATGATTATGTTCATCGTATTGGTCGTACTGGTCGTGCTGGTAATGTTGGTATATCAACGGCGTTCTTTAATCGTGGTAACAAAGGGATAGTGAGAGAATTGATTGACTTGTTGAAAGAAGCGAATCAAGAAATTCCTCAGTGGCTGGAAACTGTAGCACGAGAAACTTCTGGGTTTGGAAGTGGGCGTGGTGGCAGTACTCGCGGAGTTCGCGGACGAGGTCAAAATCGCGATTATCGAAAATTTGGAGGTAGTAATAATGATCGAGGAAGCTATGGCGGAGGAAATGAGTGAGTAATCACACAATCTAACTTTTTGATGTATAAACCTTTGTGTGTGATTCATATATTAACTCCTTCCTTATTCATTCAATGTTATAATAGTTTCTATTATGGAGGCGGTGGTGGTAGTTCAGGTGGAGGAGGTTATGGTGTTGGCTATGGTGGAAGTGGTGGTGGTGGCGGTAATTATAGCGCCGCTAATGGTTATAACAACAAACAAAGTTGGTGGTAAAGGAGAAATCTTTATCCGACAACTGTCAGCAACCATAAAACAACTGCAATATTTACAACAAAAAATACAATCAGCAAAATATTATCATAATAATCGTCTTTCTATTAATTGACATCAACGGGAGTGTGTGTAGTAGCAATATTGATATTTTATTTTAACCATCTAAGGAAATTATATTGGGAAGTGGCGCGTGATTTATTTTACATGTGTTTGGGCTTATATAAAATGCAGAAGAGAAGACGACGGTGTCCGAGTGACTGTGTGAACTAATGAATTGGCAAAGAAAAATAGGCGAGCTGGACAAGTTGAAGAATTAGACAGAAAAACCCAAAACAAGCGTGCAAAACATTTGGTTCAGATTTTTGTGTTTATCTATTTCCATTCCATCCATATCAGCCCTCTTCATTTTAATCATTTTAATCATCCCGATCGCATCATCTAATAATAATTCTCATTATTTTTCATTTCTCCTCTATTTTAATTCTCATTTTTGACTATTGCACAAAAGTAGCATGAACATTGATTTGAACCACTATTTTCGCGGTTCACAACCCAAAATACCAATTTTTTTTGACTTATTTTTTATTTTTTATGTTTATTCTTAATGCAAATAATTTTATTCTCTTTAATATAAATATTTATATACATTATATATATACACACATACACACACTCACGTAATATTAATATTTCCGTACATCATAATAATAATAATGTACTATTACTATTTTTTTTCTGTTTTCTATCACTCATCTATATATTCTCTATCTTTATCTCTCTCTATTTCTCTGGTATATATAGACAACAAAATAAAACAATTCATTTGAAGAATAATATTTATAATGATAATATTACTAATAATAATATAATGATAATGAACTTTCTATTCGTTATATCTATGTAGATTTTTCTTTTTTTTCCTTTTTCCTTTTTCCCTTTTCTCCTACTTTTTATTACCACTATCATCTATTCTTATTATTCCAATAATGTCGCGTGGCTTATTGCATCTTAAATCACAAACACACTTGAATACTTTGGTATATATGCCAGGACGATCGTTTTTTATTTAAAAAAGATAATAAATTTTTCTACCTTACTATAGATATGTATAACTTGATCATGCCGTGTTACTACGTCTTAAGTTTATCCGATGGTCGGGAATGTCGTGTTAAGTCCCGTGCGTTATAAACTAGCCATTGTTTAACCATTCAATACGAATCTCAAAAAAAGAATTTTATACATATACAATCAAAGTCTTTTACAACGACCGCATTGGATTGGTACTTTTGAGCCGGTATATAGTGCTTATGTTATAAACTTCGGTATATAGGGAGTTTTTAAAATAGTTACAAATCGTAAAAATCGGGATATCATCAATACGAATCCGATGCATACAGCGCCGTTGTAAAGGATTTTGACTGTACTCGATTAACAAAATCGTTAAAATATCAGAATTGAGTAGAAATGGACAAGGCTATGTACGATTTCTCACTAAAAAACAAACAGCATCTAAGGATCTCGGGATTTCAGACAGCAATTATTACGAATAGAATTGCAATCATAATCACCCTTATTCAACGCAAAATCGGAATCGGTACTGTGAAATTATCCAGATACTTGAATCCATTTGGATGATGTGTGAACTTTGTTGTCAGTCTAGGAAATGCCGAATTCACATGCGCCTCGATATCCTTCGAGAACTGTTCGAGAACGGCATATGCACTTGAACCAACCAATTTATTCACATAATGTGATACCATGTAATTTCCATTGATATTCAATCTAACATGAAATCCGAAATCATTCTCACAGCCACTTCGAAATAAATTTATTAAACCTTTGAATTAACTCGTCGATACGAATTGCCAATGCTCGATTTTCTAATGACAGAGCTTTCAAAATAATCGAAGTCCGTGAGAACTTCATTGCTCAGTGGTGCACCTTTTCCGTTCTAGCGTTGTCATGTGGAAAGGTGATAATTAGTATTCGAGAACCTAATGAAATGCGCGGCCATTACGATCGAAAAAGTATGATTGGGTCTATCGAGTTTCCTTTGAATAAACGACCAAGTAGCGTTTTGTTTGCGAAAGGAGTATTGATTTAAATGTTTCGCACTGATTTGGCGCGTTGTTAATGTATCATGATTGTATGATTGAATCGCGAAAGTATTACATAAGCAAATTTTGAGTGCGGAGGAAGAATTCAAAATTTTGGGCATTAATATAAATTTATCTATCAATTTCAAGCATTTCTTAAAGTTATAACAAATTATGATTGTTTTTCCATACCTTGATGCCACCCACATTTAAGACAACTCGTTCATCAGCTTGGTACGACATTTTATTGGTAGATAAGCTTTTTCTTGTTTGGTAACTCAACACCCAGTGTCTCTTAAAGAAAGTCAACTTTGGAATGAAAAGCAAAAGTTTTCAATACAACCTAATCAAGACTGAATATCAAACAATATATTCGGCATGATCTCGTATATGTAATACAAAACCCAAAATGGATATTCAGGATGGCGCAAACCAATAAGGAAGCGTATAAGCCAGTAAAGCCGGCATAACCTCATAGCAGGCTTAAATATGATTGGTTGACCTTCAAGATGTATCACCGCATATCTAATTTCCTATAAAAAAGAAGATAAACTAACTTTAAATGGATTCGCAGCCACAGAAACGAATTCGCAGACGGTACCGTTAAAGTAATTTTGGTACTACAGAATTAGAATTTCGACAAAATAAAATATACGTATATTCATTTACTATTTTATTATATTTGTGAAAAGAATGGCGTTTCTGTGGTGTCTAATATCTAATAAAGTGACTATACCAGATATTAACAAACATTTAAATTTAGTTGGCAAAGCATTATGCAGAAAACATTATAACAAACTAATTGTTAATGCTAAAAAATCATACTTATTATCCTTTATTAATGATCCCTTTATGTATTTAATCATTAAAAAAGTATGCTATTTTTATCAACCAATAGAATTTAAAAATGATCTACAAAAATTATAATGGTAGGCCTAAATAGACCAACCATGGAAATTTCTTTATAGATTGTTAAATATTTCTGTATTTGGCAATTTGAGATTTATAATTCGGGGAGCAATTTATAATCTAGCGCTTTCTTATTCTCTGGATTAGAGTTATCCGTAAAATTACCATTTACGAATCTGTGCCAAGCATTGATTGTTTGTTTTGAAGAAATAAAGCTAATTTATTTGATGCATAAAAAGATGGAGAATCATTGTTTAATACAAAAATTATGCATCATATTTCCATACGCATACATTTATCCTGATCCAATAGAAATACATTTATCCTGATCCAATAGAAATACATTTATCCTGATACCCAATGAACCCAATAGAAATAAAAATAACTACACAGTTCTATTTTTAGTCTCATGGATGATTGGTTGATTGATTTTCGGCGAAAGAAAAAAAAATAAAATATTTCATGAGGAAATCAATCAATTGGAAGCCCGAAAATCGATAGATTCGGGAACAGTGATGCGGGGCATTACTCGAAAATTAATAATTTGGTCAAGCGACGACAAAAAATGTTTGTTTGATTGAAGTTTGTACGAGTAAGAAAAATGAACGCGCGTTCCTGATTTATGATAAAACAACTATGCGAGATTAATATGATATTTGACGGAACTTAAATTTTTCTTGGCAAAAAATGAAAATTTCTGTACTATACGAGATTAATATGATATTTCTATACTATACGAGATTAATATGATATTTCTGTACTATACGAGATTAATATGATATTTGAGATTATACGAGATTAATATGATATTTGAGATTATATGATAAAACTTTACAAAATTTTCTCTTGGCAACATAAAAATTTCCGGTATTTCAAATACCTCTATTCGGCATACCAAAAAAATGATGCATGCATGCATGCATACATACATATCTGATACGCATACGCGCATGACAGATGTAATTATTGATACATCATTTCAACGCCTTTATAATTAAATAATAATAACAACAACAAAAATAGCAAAAATCTTTGTCGAATTATGATTATAGAAAATTTCAGAGACTAAAAAATACTGGTCCATCGGTAGCCGTTACGATAGCGGCGGCGAGCGGCAGAAACGGCCTCTTACATTACTTAAAAGTCCATAAAAGTCATGATCATATTACAATGAGCAAAACATAAAAGCAAACAATATATAATATTAATATAAATTATCGTACAAAAAGATCATTATACATGAATAATTTATATATGTACATAAATAAATACACAAATCGCAGACATACATATCAGAACCACGCGTCGTTGTGAATTTGAACACAACTTTGAGGAAGAAGAGTTATGCAAAGACAACGAACAATACATCGTTTTTAAGGAATACACATTTATTTGTTTATATGCACAATGTATATTCGATTTTACTATATATAGAACGTTCTCTTCCTCTTTTCTCTCTTCATCATTACCATCAAATCGTCATCAACCTAAACCTTCCTTCCTTTTTCACTCTCTACCTCGCATTACAAAAAGCCCGTCTTTTGATTTACACCTTCCTTTCATATACACGCTCTTCCTATCACAGTCGCATTAGAATGACGCGTTTAGTAAAGCTCGGTATATTATTAGTACTAGTGTTGTTAATAGCAGGTGAAGTTCTTGGTAAAACACATAAACACGCCACTCGTAAATCCAAGACAAAAAATCACAAACACATCAAACACCCCAAAAACATCAAACCCCCTAAAAAACCGAGCATCATAAAGAGTATCAAAGTCGCTCCAACTCCAAAAGTCTCTCCGACTCCGTCTCCGTCTCCGTCTCCAAAAGTCGTTGCACCTCCTCAAAAAGGAATTCCACAACCAACTTCAACCAAAAGTAGCAGTATCGTTGCCAAGACTCCACAACCCGCGAGCAATGGTAAAAATATTTGTCGATCTTACTCCCAAAACTTCTCGGAAGCCAGAATTGTTGAACATACCGATTATCAAAATGATCCAAAGACCGCGGACTGGATTAATTTATCCGGAACAAAAGGAACTTATTCATTGGATGGCGGAAACTTGAACATGATTTTGCAACCACCATCGTCTTACGAAAAAATCACTACGCAGTATCATCCATATAATTCGAAATTGGGCACCGGTTTGACATTGAATTCCACCTACATGATCCATTACGGTAAAGTCTCTGCAAAAATTAAGAGTAGTTCTCTTGGTGGTGTCGTCACTGCTTACATTGTATGTATTTTTTATTTTTATTTTTTACTTTGTCTTCTTATGAAATCATGAGTGATAATAATGATTAATGATATTTTTAGACCATGTCACCGAATGGCGATGAAATCGATTGGGAACTTGTCGGCAACGACACACTTCACGCACAATCAAACTGGTATTGGAATGGAGTTATCGAATGGGGTGTACACGGAGGAATGCACAACGTCACAGCACCAGGAATTTCTGATGAATTCAAGACTTATACCATCGACTGGACTCCCGAAGCAATCACTTGGTTAATTAACGGATCCCCTGTTCGTACCTTAAAGCAATCGGATACATTAGTCGACGGAGTTCCTCATTTCCCAAATCATCCAAGTTATATCCAACTTGGTATTTGGGATGGTAGTGGCGCTCCAGGTACCGCCGAATGGGCTAACGGACCGATCGACTGGAGTCAACAAAAAACTAACCCGAGAACTCTTGTCTCGGAAATTGAAATTGAGTGTGATCCTACTTGGAATCAAGTGATCAATTAAGCAATGTTGGAAAAACTTTCATTTTCTTTGTTTTAGTACATATCAAAAGACGGACTTTTGTTTCATAATTTCTTTTCTTCTCATTCTTACTTTGTTTCCAAGGTAGAAACTTGGATTAACAATACTTTTCATTCTTACTTTGTTTCCAAGGTAGAAACTTGGATCAACAATGCTAAACTATTCAAAGATTGATTTCTTTGTCCATAAATTAAATTATTTATTAAATTAATTGCCCTCAATTCTTGGATTCCCGAAATTCATTAATTAGATAATAATTTAATTTGCTCGCTTCTAATAACTTATAGATAGAAATAGTTATTAGTTAGTTCCTTAGAATAATTTCTAGAAGAATCCACCCATTCTGCGTGAAAGCCAAAGTTCCTTTAATAAAAATCAAATTATAAAATCCAAAATATTGTGCAATTGCGGAATAAGATTTTTATGAAAAACATAAAGAAAATGTTGGAGTTTCAATGAAAAAGTATAACGATAATAAATCGTTAGATAAATCATCAAACACTTTTTATTAATTACGTTCGTTATTCAAACTTTAACAGCAAGCCATAATTATATAACTCGTTCTTCACAAACCTCGAGTACACAACAAAATAGACATTACAATGTTTTATCATACGAAACACGAATCGAAATCTAAAAATATACTAAAGGCGAAAAAATATTGTGGGATAAAGCTGTCAAACTACGCGACCTCGTTGTGTAAAATGGAGCAATAAGAACGTGTGGATGGATATATAAGAATCAAATGAAATTTATCTCCTAAAGTCCGAAAATATATGAACGGGAACCTTGTCAGATATAAGAATGGCGCAACATTGTTAAAGCGAGATTCATTATAACAACAAGATCATTATATAGAAGTTGATACGGGTCTAGAAATATTATTCAGCGAATTCGTTACGAAATGCATTTTTTACACTAACGCTAAGAATGACGAAAGGATCGTCACTTCAGCACGAAATGCTTATCGTAATTGTATAAAAATTCCTCACTTTATATAATAGAATTATTGAATAATTATGGTTGTATTTGAATTTCTAATTCTTACTAACTGAATCGTTCGCTCCTTTAATATCTATAGAAAGGGATACCAGCAAGTCATAAAGTCAATCACCTCAAGAACAAGGCCATTAGCTCAGCAAATAAAGTTTCTAATATTGGTTATCTCATTAAAATAATGGAGGCACTTTTTAATTTGTCATGAAAAAATAATTAACTTGTAACGAGAACTTTGTTTTACGAGTCAGTTCTTAAATAAAGATACAAATTCTCTTTCCGTTAGTATGAGAAATCGGTGTATACATCTACGCATGCATACACGATCAATTGTCAATTGTCTATCTCGTGATTTTGTTTATCATAATCTTCTTTGTAACATTAATGAGGATAAAAATCCACGACCCCTATAGAAAATAAATAACGTTGAATCAAAAGGCCGAAGTATTTCAAAAGCACATCTCGCATAATTATTAAAGGTGATGCTGAATTAGTTGTAATAATATTAGCTAAGAATTCTTTTTCTTGTGAGATGATGTAGATTTCTTTGAAGGGTTCAGAGGATCCTGAAATAAGAAAACGAACAATGTCAAACGATTGGAAATACACACGTTAATCTATTAATTGTATGCATCTATAAACGAAATAATACTTACATCCCACATTTCGGCTAAATCAATAACATACTCATCATGTGCGACCTTCACGCTAGGAGTGGGACGTAAGAAAAAGACTTGAATGTCAAAGATATACTGTAGATAAAAATAACATATTGCTTGGATCAATTGAAAATAAAAAGATAAAGGATATCAGATGAAGTTTTTGGTCGTTTTGGTTTTGGCTCGACTTCTTTGATACCAATTCGTTCTCGTAATTTACGCGAATTTTGTCTTGTGCTCGCTTCGAAAGTCGAGTCTAAAATTTTATTTATTCAATTAATACTCAGGATGGAAGAATCAGATGAATCTAAAGTATTTACCATGCATTAAATCATAATTGGCTTGTTCCTCCTTTAATCTTTTTCGTCTCTCTTCAACATCAGCCAAAAGCTTTTCTATTAAGTCCTGTCGTTCACGCTAAGGATATAATAATCATTCGATAAAAATGATTGGCGTTTCAGAAAAGAAGATAGACATTCTATTGTTATACCTCATAATCTTGTTCAGCTTGTGCCACTTCTTCATCAAAAATTCTTTCAGATATTTCAAGTAAATACTCTCGATATGTGGTGGCTCTATATATGGTAGCATCTCGATCTTCAATGAGCATCTGTAATCGTTCTTCATATTCCGGACTTGTGCCTATCAAATTAATTAATCAAATTCTCAAAAATTGATAGAGAAAGTAAGCGAAAGTTAAATCTAATGTTTAATCATCATACCATCCTGAATTCCCTTCATCTCATTTATGATCTCGTTCATATATTCTTGATAGAGTCTAAAAAGATATTATACTTAGTAATAACAAAATGCTCTCTCTATAGCTACAAATATTATTCTATTATCTACATACTTTTCCTTGCACGATTCTAATTCCGCTTCCATTCTCAACATTTTCTCATTGATTTCGGCAGCTTGATTCAACTTTGAGGAGGCAGCTGTCTTTTTCCTAGGTGGTTTGATTTCTATCGTAGTTGCTACCGTCAAGGTTGATGGCTGATGACTATGATTATGTTCCCCTATTAAACAGGCAATTATATTCGTCTAGATAAGGTAAGTGATAATAGCGATAATTCAAATAAATCTTATAAAATCACTCATCAACATGACTCCTCAAGTGTAGACTAACAAAGAAACTCACTTTCGTGTCAACAACAAATTTCTACTCACCATCAGTACCTGGGTCTTCGACACGTTCGTCCATTACCATTTCGTGTAGTACCTCCTCATCTAAAGGTTCTAGCACCATCGCGTCAGTAATGTGAAGGTCAGATTCTCCACCAGTATTAGAATAATCCATCTAGTTATCTCTATATCTTTTGTTTCACGCCTTGACACACCCTTTTATATCTATTTTATGGTGTTTTTATTAAATGAAATTCCGGAATTAAGTGGAATTTAGCCAAATAGAAAGGTATAAGCTAGAAAACAATAAACGAAATAGTCGGAACTTGGATAAAAGTTTAGAAATATATGGCGAGAATGGTCTGCACATTGTGCACAGATTGAAATAATAACGTGAATGTCATATGACTCGTTAAATTATATTATGATGATTCATTATTATCGTTATGACGAGAGCTGTATGCTGCTTTGATCAAAGTTAACTAAATGCATCAAATTGCAAATGAAATTATTACATTCACCATGTTGCAATAATTGAGCTCGCTATTTTGGCCTCAGCATATATAGCAACACGTTTTTTCTTATAAAAATGATTAACGTATTAGCTTTGAATTGAATGAGAAGAGAAATGATCTGCAGAACCTTATCATGTGATGTAATGATCGGGCAAAGATATTTATTGACTAAAATTTTTCATTTTGGATATCGATATGTAGTGGATTACTTTTTCAATATCAATATCTACTAACTATTAAAAGAATACTAGTTTTAAAAATACAAAATATTATTGTGGCACCATGATGCCATAACAAATTGAAAAATTTAATGAGTTTAGGATTAACTTTTTTATCTTTACGTTAATAATAAATAGAAAGCATGGTGTCATGACACCATAGTGTTACCAATTAATACCCTAAAAAATATATACAAGTTTAGCTATGCATATTATCATTTTTTTTTGTTTTATCTTTCCTAATTTATAAATATATTTTTTTATTAAATTGATTTGTTAAAAGTGCAAATCTTCTATTAAATTATATATTTTTATTAATAACGTATCTTTCTTAACTGTTTATTTTGTTCAATTAATATTTGAAATTTACAAAAATAGAATATTATCTATTGAAAACTTAGAATAATTTATTATTTTAATAATTTTTCATATTGTTTTCTATATATAGTAGCTTACAAAAACAATGCATTCAAATTTATCATTAAAATATAATAAAATTAAAAATTTTTTATTTTGATATAAAATAAAAATTTTATAAATAAAATTTAAAATGTTTATGAAAATAAATTTTTAATTTATTAAGATAAAAGAGAATATTTTAACAAATAAGAATATTATTATATTTTTAATTTTTAACTGGCTTTTATTAAATTTATCTTAAATTAAATATTTTTGAATAATAATATTTAATTTAAAAAAATCTGAAATAAATCAAACTTGATAAATAACAAAATTATAAAAATAACAAATAATATATTCTTTTATAATTATTATTTTATAAATAATATTAATTTAAAAGTTGGCAAAATAACAAGTTATAAAATTTTGTTTTTATAAATAACAAGAAAATAACAAATAAATTATAATTGAATTATATTATATATATAAGAGATTATTTATTTGTATATATAATATAAAATACATAATAAATATATTTATAAATATTACAAACTAGAATTAGAGTTAGAATTAGAGTGAAAATAAGAGTAAGATTATATATAAAATTATTTTATTGACATTTTTTATTAGTACTTAAAGTTAAATTTGAATATCTATTTTCTGTATTTTTTATATTTTTCACATTTTATTTTTTAATTTGAATTTGTTTTGCTGGATTAATCAAAAAAATTTATGCTTTTTCATTAATTTGCATCACTTTGAATATTTATTTTTAGATTATATTACATGTAATAATATTTGTAACAAGATAAAAATGATAAAACTAAATCTAAATAACTAAATTAAAAGAAAATTTAACCAAAAACTACTTTTAACTTTAAAAATAAATCAAATTAATATAATTAAACTAAATAAACTTAAAATTAAATCAAAAAACTTAAATTAAGCCAAGAGTATTTAAACTTAAACTGAGAGAATTTGAATTTTATTAATTATTAACACTTGTATTTATTTTTATATTATAATAATATAGTATAATATAATAATATATAATATAATATAGTTGTAATATAACACATAATACAATAAATTTAAATTATTAATTATTAATTCTTTTTTAATTATATAAAAAGTTAATAATTTTGTTTTATACTAAAGTATTAATAGCAAAAATAAAAGTTAAATAAATATAAAAAATAAAAAATATATCAAGAGAATTATATGATTAATATTTCTAATTTAAAGTAAAAATAGAAAGATAAGAAATAATAAGAAAGAAAAAGAAAAAAATAGAAAGAAATAGAAATAAAAAAATATTTTTGACTTAAATATAAGATAGACATAGGTATTATGATGCACTATCTAAAATGATACATTACTAATAATTTACATAATAAGCTATTAGTAATGTATCATAATTTAAATCACGTTATAATATCCATATCTACATTATAATTAAAATATTATTATAACTAATTTTATATGATTATACTTTTTATTTATATATTTATTATATTAAATTGATAATAATATCATTTATTTTCAAAAATAAATAATTTTTTATGACAAAAATGATTTGTTATATGATATATTATTAAATAACAAAGTGCTAATACTAAAATAAATTGGATAAAAATTTTAATTGGCTTTATAAAATTTATTTAGATCTTTTTAAATTAGTTATTATTATTTTGAAATATATTTTAAAATATTTGATTTAAAATAAGTCTAATAAAAATTAATATTAAAATTTTTATTAGATTAAATATAAAAAATATTTAGTTATTTTAGTTTTTTGTTAAATTAAATATAGAAAATAATACAAATTTTGATTTTTATTGATTTTATCAAGTTAAATATAGAAAATAATCCTGAATATTTATAATACTAATAAATATAATTAAATTTTTCTATAATTATATTTATTTATAGTTATATCTTTATAATTATTCTATTTGCTTTTTATTTATATATATATAGTAAAAAATTTCTCTATAATCATATTTTTTTATAATTATTTAAAAAACAGATTTTTAAATTTTTTTGATTAATATTTTTAGAGAATTTCTGAATTTTTTTATAAGATAATAATATTATTTTTCAAGTTATTCAAAATAATATATTAATTAAAGAATTTTATATTATTATAATAATAATATAATAAAATACTTCATGTAATTTGTAATAAAGATAAAAGTGAATAAGAAAATAATATAATTATTTGTAATTTAGATATTTTTTGTTATTAAAAAAATACTTTTTATAGTATAATTTTCAAAAAAATAATAAAATGCTCTAAAAAAGAAATAATAAAAAATATAATAATTGTAATAATAATAATTAATGAGAAATTACTGTCGAATAACAATTGATAGTGCATTTTTATAATGTTTTATAAGTAATATTTTTCATTTTCAATCTTTCTTGATCAGAAAGAATATCTGTTTGTGTTAAAATAGTTTTTAGCTATATGTTTCACATTAATCCAAAAGATGCATTAATTCAATTTTATTTTTAATAAAAACAATTAGATTAATTTTTAGCAAAAGCAAAAAATCATAAATATCAAAAATTAACTCAAATCCAAACCAAGAAATGAAAACGCTGTAATGCTATAAAAAATTAAACAAAGCAAACACTATGAATACAACACGAAGATTCTTCAAGCACACCTGAATAAATACGATTACAAACACCATAATTTCGAACCAAGAGTATTTTTTAAAATCTTATAATTTCTGCAGGAACTCTTAAATCGACAATGTTTCGATTTTAAAATGCTACTAAACATAGAAACAAATTTTCAATAACTTTGTTCTTTCTACAAAGTCACCAGTCAGATTTTGAAAATTTTGCCTCTATGTCGAGTAGTAACATTTTAAAATTGAAACATATTGTCGATTTAAGAGTTCAGATACCATTTTTTGCGAAAATCACGTGAAATATGATATAAGATAAATGTCTGCCATAATATTACAACTTTTGGTCTTTTCAGTAATACACTAAATTCGAGAAAAATGTTTATTAGAAAGCTAATATCACATATCGCTGCATTGTATAACCTTTTGATCTTGCATGTTTTCTCAAATACCCACATAAACATGACGAAAAGAGAGGCGGGCAAAGTCAAAATAGCAAATGTCACAAGCTTAAATAAATAATAACACAAACACAAACAACACACAATCAAAAAGCGTAGGCACAATAAAAAGAATAGACTACAATGGGTTCACAATTTTTCCGTTTCTCTGAATGATATTTGATTTTGAATTCTCTCGCTCAAAGGTTTCGTGACCGTTGTCGTGATAAACACGGGTTTGGCTTGACACGAAGACTTTCTTGAAATGGATAAACGCCTCAGAAAACAATGGGTTGAATGTTTTTACATGTGATTTTCTTTTTAAATGATTTACACGGGTCCTCAAGGAATCGGGAATTTCTGAATATATACGAGTAATCTTTTATATTAATTGTTGGTGAATTTGTATTGGTGTCGAATTTTAAATGAGGCAATTGTGCAGAATTGTATTATTTTGTATCTTGTATTACTTTATTATATATATTTAGTCATAATATATCTGTGTGCACCAACCACAACTATGCAAATCTTTAAAAGATGGTAATAATAGAAAATAAAGAGAATGCGGTGATGGAAAATATAATTCAAATAATTTCAAATCTTAATATGATGTACATGTATGTATGTATGTAATGTTAGGTTAATGTGCGTCTTTAACACAACTAGACTCATTAATTAAATGAAGTTTAAAAATCATTAGTTAGTTCTTTTCTCTTTTTATTTTTCTCTCCTCCATTTTTTTTTATATAGTCGTTCATTTAATAACATCTATTTCCTGATTTTTTTATGATTATTATCCAACTAGCAATTATTTTATTACATCGATAAAATAATAGACTTTGATCAGTCTTTTATACCTTTCCCCTATTCACAATCAATTCCTCCATCCCTTTTCCATTCACTCCAACACCTCGTGATTGTTCAGTCTTTACTCTTAACGAAAGACGACTACGACAATAACAGTAACGGTCAGTAATATAAGTGCTATTGTTAAATTTATTTTTCCTTACAATCATCATTCATCAATATTCATCATCGGCTTACTCCTCCAATTTTGGGAATCTTATATATCAATCATTGTCACATTAAATATATTATATTTAGTGTCAAAAAAATATTTACTCTTAACTACTCCACTACGCTTTGGGATCTCTTTCTTTTATAGTAATATCAGCTGGCAGTGCCCGTTTTTTGTCTTTAATAACATCAACAATAAAAAAGATTCTTATATTCTGTCTGAGGAAATAATTACTGCTGCTACTATTATATTATTATTGTTATTATCACTCGAGCAAACCAGATAACCTCATTCACCATTACTACCGCGAGCGAATATTAAGAATAATAACAACAACTTTGTGTATATATACAAAAAAATATATCTCATTACATAGCAAAAAAAAACAAAATAAAAAAAAGTACACCACAAAAATGGAATACTCTAGTGTTCAAAAGCATACAAGTATACCGGATCCGATTGGTACACCTTCCTTCATGGAAACAGACCCATACGGGAACCAAACAAACAGAGCGTTCTCTTCGCCCATACCAACAACACCCATGACACCAATGGGAACACCAAAACGGTTTTATAAAAAACCATCAAAGCCACGTGATTTTGCCCACAGTGCTAAAAAGCGTCAGTCAGTTTTGGCGCTTGGAAGCATCACTCATTTACAACATTTTTACGCTAAACGAGGGATCATTATTAAACCAAAAAAACCAAAAAACGCGTATGTTCATTTTATGACTTTCTTTATTCATTCGCGGAAAATTACATAACTAATTCGTGTATTTTTTCTTTAGAGAAAGTGGATTGGGTCTAACGATTAATACAAATGTTACTGATCTATTAAAAATCTCTGAGGAACCTGAAGATATTTCATTTCCTCCAACTCCACTTCCTCCCTCTCCACCACCGTTACCTGCATTCATAACATCGAGACTAGATGTTGAGACAGATCCAGAAGTATTATTAGCCACTTGTCATATGGAAATACAAGAGATGCTTGATGCATGGAAATTTGTTCACAATAACAGCGGGTCAAGGAATGACTCTGATTCTGAGGATGGTTCTTCTACGATTTCTGGCTTTTCATCTTCATCGGTTGCTGTGGATGTTCTCGATGTGATTGCAACCACGACAAAAGCAGTACAAGCAGTAAAAAATTATTCAATGGTAAAAGAAGATTTAGCTCCTGAATCACTAAGTAAAATCCGAGCTTATGCACTTGAAGTTTTGGAGATGATAAGTGAACTGGAGAAAGGTCATCGAGATGATGACACGGACGATAGTAGTAGCGAAGACGGACATGTTTATAAAACTGCAAATCTGAGAACTTTGGATAGCCAAGGAGTCATACTGAGAAATTATATTAAAATTGTCGAGGAATGCTTGCTATTCGACAACAAGGAGATGTACCCAAATACTTCTTATTTGAACAGCATTAGTAGTGGAAGTAGTGGAATTAATAGTAATAATTCATCGTCATTTCACACCGCTGCTCCGTCGACTGCTTCTACTTCGTCTGCGGCTTCGATTATTGAGGATAGCAAACGTGATTATGCTCTTTCTGCATTGATGACACCACCTGCTTCTCCCGGATATCCTAATCTTGATTGGACACACCCGGAATTATTCGAAGATGATAATATTGGTATTTATTTATTGTTTATTTAATGTTTATTTTGTGATTAATGACATTAATTGAGTTTTTCCATATATTATTATTAGCTCGGTATCATTCGTTTCTAGAAGCACATCGTCCTTCAAAATCTAAGCAATCCGCCGATTACATACCACTTCCGGATCCTCGGAATGACAAGACAGAATTTTTTACTGCATTGGCGTAAGTTTCATTTTTTTTTTACAATAGAATCATTTTAATATATTATTGTGATCGGTTATTAAATTATAATTTATAGTGACGGTAAATTACTATGCGTGATATTTAACACTGTTGTACGGCGATCAAAACGACCTTTCGGGTTTATTGACAATATACATGAGGATACATCCCGGGCTTATCGGGCTACAGAGAATTTGAAATTTTTTGCGGCGTAGGTTTTTTTTACTTTGTTATATATGAAAACGACACACTATTAACATTATGTGCCATGATAATTGATGAACTTGATTGTTAATCTTTTTATTTAATCATTTTCCCTATACTTTAATTATATTATAAATACAGTGCATGCAAATTTCGATTTGATATCAAATTTGAAGAGTTCAATGCTTCTGAAATAGCGAAATTGAGTGAAACGGGTAAAGATCACGTAAGTAAACAAAAAGCAATTTTATTTAAATCTTTTTTTGATTATTCATTAATCGAATGTTTATAATAAAAAAAAAATCAGTTGGAAAATACAATTGCAGTCTTTTGTGAAAAGGCAATGGACGAACTTATAACAACAGGCGCGTACCGGGCATCACCATTATCGCGAGTCCCGTCAATATATTTATCCGATTCGGCTGCTTCTTCACAGTGTCAATTGAACAGCACCGGTGGCGGAATAACACCTCCACCTTATAGTGAGGCGGAATTGGCACAAGCATTTGCTAATGCTTCTTTATCGATCCAGAATAATTAATACCAAAGCTTATTTGGGTTTTTAGTTGTGGTGGTTTAGTTTTCATTCCATTAATTTCATCATTATTCTACATCATCCATTCATCTTCGTTGTCCCGACTTATCTATAACAAATTTTTGGGAAATTATCTTATTTTAACTATTTATTTACCATCTATTATTATTATTATTATTATTATTATTATTATTATTATTATTATTATTATTATTATTATTATTATTATTAT